TTAGAAAGCATAGTCTTATACAGGGTTTCTCCTTATTACAGAATGTATTTTCATCATGGTAATCTTATTCCCTCTTATCAACTTCTGTCGATACCGACGAGCAAAGCTATCTTAATAATCGCTTGTTACGATCTTTCAGCTAAAGTCTCGATCGAGGGTGACATGACGCCAGTACGAATTCACCGAAATGAAGTGCTTAGCTCCAAATCAGATCTGCTGCACCAAGTGGCATCCGAATCGACCTTTGACGGCCGCGAAACGTCCGAACGAACATTAGACGATGGTAAATCTTTGAATCTATCCTGCGTATTATGATTTATTAGCTTTTTTGCCATGCTTTTTCGAATTTCTCTGATTGTTTTTCGTAAATTCCTTTGCATTAATGTTTTGACAGCTTAAAACGCCAGAGATCTCATAACCTTTATTAGGGGTTTCAACTATTTCTTTTTTTAAAGATTCAATATCAGACCAATTTTAGTTACGTCCCCTACCATTGTTTTCCCTAAAGTGTCGCTTTCAATGGAGAAGATCAACAGAAGTTCAACGAAGAATGATATCATGATACTGTCAGAAACTGATATAACCGCAAGTGAGGATGGCGACACGATATCCGTAAGTGCTCCTTGCGCTCCTAACTGAACTAATTATTATCGTCAAGCACAAACACGCTCTAACGGTCATCACTGAGCTGCAGTTGTTACTTCACCTAAAACTATGGCAATGAGGCTTTCAATGAGGCATATTCAAATATAGTTTTATAGGTTCACGCTGCCTATCACCGGACTTGCAAGATTTATTTCACTTTTTAGTATTCGGAACCAGCAAACAAAGTTGATCGACCTGAGGAGGCCAAAGTCTTCTCTTATGCGCAGATTCTTACAGCTACTTTTGGGTCTTTCGTGCATGGTGGCAACGATGTTAGGTAGGCCACCACGAGGTTAAACCAAGCACAACTTTCCCAATTAATTTTACTTACGGTAAATATTCTCATTTTTTTCTTTTAGTAACGCAATTGGACCTCTTATTGGTCTCTGGACTGTAA